AAAAACATTACCATTGAAATCTATCTGATGACTTTATATCCATGCTCAGATGCCAAGGAGCTCAGAAAGAACCGACTGTGACTAGTAACAATCAGATATATAGAGATTAGAAACGCACGTGCATCTTAGTGTCAATTGTATTAAAAATGAACTTTTCTTTTTGAAACTGTATTTTAATAATGAAATAGAGATCTTTTTAAAAGTTTAAAACCTCATTTAATTTTATGTCTTATAGGATTTATACAGAGCACAATATTGTATAACTGTATTAATTCAACGGTAAACCTAAAAATTTACAGCCAATTTTGAAAGAGATGCATCTTAGCTCTGGAAATTGTTATTGAATATGTCAATGCTGTTGTAATGAAATGCTTCTTCTAATTATATGGTTATTAAATAAATAATTTTTAAAAAAAGCATGTCAAACTTGGTGTGTAATTGTGATTTCCTGATGACACTACATTTCTTCCTGATGGTGGGTATTAACAGGCAAAATCTCAGTGCTTGCATATAGTACAATTCTGATAGGACTAACATTTATTAGCTACATACCATAACATGGTACATAATGGTTTACATCTGTTATACTGTTTATTATACCCAATGATTCCTCAGGTGGTAAAATCATCTATATTTTAAAGATGAGAAAACCAAAATGCAGAAGGTTTAATTGGTACCCAGTGTCATAGACCCATCATTAGGGTCTTTTTGATGCCAAAGCCAGCATGCTAAACCAGTGTGTTTCAAGCTGTGAATGGAGAAGTTCCTGTCTTGTGAGTAGAAAGCAACATGTGAAAAGAAATTGAATAGAACAGGAAACACAGTGTCACACGTGGTTTGGGTGGGTAACTCTTGATTGAAACATTTGTTTTAGCTTTAAAGATAAGTGTGTGCATGCACAAATATAAGCAAATTTGTGTGTGCTGGGAAACAGTAACAAAGAAGTTTTACTGTGTCATACTCCAGTTTGGAAGCAAAAGAGGGAGTGGGATGAATGAAAAGGGGGAGAGCAGGAGGGATAAAATATGAAAGTGGATGAATTAACAGATTAAGGGAGGAGATAAAAAAGAAGGAAACAATAAGAAAATGGACAACTCTTGTTTTAGGAAGATCAGCTCTTTTTCACCCAGCAACAATCAGTTGCCAATATTTCTTCAGCTAAGATTGGGATCTGCTGTTCATTTTCCCAGTTCTATGCTGTTTTTTTTTTCTGACAACAGAGTGGGCCTTAACAGGGATGACAGTGTATGGGCTCCAATAGGGGCACTATGGGAGGGTGCCAGTGGGGATGGGGGTATAAAGATGATTAAGATTGTTTGAGATGTTCTGTATGAAATACATAAAAAATTCAATAAAAACAAATTTTTAAAAAAATTAATATTAAGATTTAAAAAAGAAAAAATGGGCAACTCTGTGAAAGACACAGAAGTTCAGGGCAGGGTTAGGGGAGGAGGAAGACGTATGGAAGTCACGTGATTCTGTCCATCCAGCATATACTCCTACCTGATGGAGAAACTGGATATTGTTCTGCAGATTTGGTTTCCACATGCTTCTCATGCTGGGGCACTCACTCTGAATGTGAGCCAAGTGGAGATTTCTATATAACATTACCCCTACATGCTAATCGGCTAGCTCATCTGGTGTCCAACTAGAAAGCAGAGATCTGAAGGAAAATGGGCTGGGTTGAAATTGCAGAATGTGTCAGCTCCCCAGTGCACCCCTTCCTAAGGATTGGCAAAGTCTGTTGCCAATATATGTAACTTTTGGCATTAAGCTAATTTTGACTCCACTATATATGTATCACCTCTTGTGTTATATTAAGAAAGTTTAGGTAAGCATATTCTAAAGTCTTTTTATGGCCAATGGATGGCTGAGTAGGTAAAGCAGCACAGGACCCACGTGTGGAAGGAGAGAACCAACTCTGGAAGGTTGTCCTCCAACCTCCACATATGCACAGTGGCATGCCCCCTCCCCAAGGTAAGTAAAAAAGAATTAAATTTAAATTTAAATCTTCTTTTTCTTGGAAATTCTACATTAAGTACTCTACTTTCAAAGGATGCTGGAGTCAATTAATGAAAAGCCTATTAGCCTTTTTTTTTTTTTTGGTCTTTTTGAGACAGGGTCTCCCTGTAGCCCCAGCTACAGGAACTCACTATGTAAACCAGACTGGCCTTGATCTCACAGAGATCTAACTGCCTTTGCCTCCTGGCTCTTTTCTTATGTTTTATGTTTGTTTGTTTTTGAGCTTTTATATACAGGGAGGTAGAGATAGAGTCAAACTATAATTCTCCAACCCTAATTTCATATTTCCTCACTAATCAGTAACAATGGATTAAAAAACAATATTTCACATTCCCAACATAAAGGGTTCACATGCCTTTGGCTTCCTGTTGATTTCCCCAACCCAGAAAGTATGAGAAACGTGAAGGGTATGCAGAGATGGTTGTTGGTTACTGTTTTTCATGACCCTTGACTCATCCTTATAACCACCTATTACTCCAGCTAACCTTGAAGACTAGCTGATCACAGACTCCAGTAAGGATGGGCTGTGTATGGCATGATGGGTAGCTACACCTTATTTTTGAAATATATATTATTGAGTAATGGGTTTTTTTTTTTTTTTTGGTCTTTTTGAGGCAAGATCTCCGTATAGCCCCAACTGGCCTGACGCTCACTGTGTAAACCAGGATGGCCTCTATCTCACAGAGATCCACCTGCCTCTGCCTCATGAGTACTTGGACTAAAGGTGTGCACCACCATACCTAGCTAATTAACAGGTTTTAAACTTCATGTTGCAAATTTAGGACAATAATTTTATTTATAAATCAGTATGGTGCAAAGTCTAGTTTTACTGTAATAGAGTATCATTGTGTAATTTCATCCCCTTCTGCTCAAATGTACTTTTCTATTTCTAGGCCCCATTAGCAAATTAGAGTTTATATTGCCATACTTTCCTATGACCTGTTCCTGGCCTTTCTTTGTTGATTCTGTAATAGGTACAGAATCTATTTTAGTGAGTAATGATACTGTATCAAGGAACTTAGGTTATTGACATGCATATTCTTTCCTTTTCCTTTTCATTTTTTAAATATTTTTTTAAATTTTATGTGCATGAGTGTATTATCTGCATGTGTGTAAGTGCAATGCCCGTGCAGGTCAGGAGAGGGTGCTAGGTCCCCTCGAACTGGAGTTACAGACTCTAGTTACAGATGTTAGCTGCCATGTGGGTGCTGAGAACCAAACCCATGTCCTCTACAAGACCAGTCAGTACTCTTAACCATTGAGCCATGTCTCCAGGCCCTCCTTTTCCTTTTTTAAAAAATAAATTCTGTATGGGGATATAAATAGGACCCTCCAGCATGAGCTCCATTTCAGTCATCTTTTACCTGCTGAGGAGAATTGTGCTTTTCCCCCAGTGATGAAGGTCCATCACTACACATCCTGCTCATCTTGTTTGGTTTCACTGATATCTTTCTCTCTCTCTCTCTCTCTCTCTCTCTCTCTCTCTCTCTCTCTCTCTCTCTCTCTCTCTCCTCTCTCTCTTTCTTTCTGTTTTTTTTTTAAAGAAACTTCCAGGCTTACTAACACAGTTTCCTTCCTACTGCCTCAGCTGAAAACTTTGTGTTGTATAACAGGGCCCGTCTGCTGAGGTAACTGGCCCTTGTTTTTCTCCTAACTTCCCCCATTTTTAATAAGGACTCCCACTCCAGAAGTAGAAGCTCTAACGTAGATCATTTATTCTTGTTTCATGGTTTTATTCTAATTTCACAGGTAGTTGCAAGTGGGAGTGTCCCTCCTTTACTGGTTTAATTTTGCTGAGTGCTTATTATATTCAGTTAGGTACCGTCAGGAAGCTAATATTCAGCACTGTACTTCAAGGAAACTTTGTTGGTGCCAATCTTTGGGGGAAACACAGAGATCCTAGCCTCATTATAACTTTAATGATTCTGATTGTTGCTTATTCTTAATTTCAGAGATCCCAGAAGACCCACTTGTGGCTGAAGAATATTATGCTGATGTATTTGATTCCTGTTCTGAAGACAGTGAAGAGCAAGAAGAAGAAACAGTGTTCTCAGAACCCAGGGGAGAAGTGAGGGATGAGGGAGCCCCGCCTGCTTACAGAGCAAACCAGGTACATCCTGCTCCAGACCAGATGAGCTGTAGCTGTCCGAGGTACTGACTATACTAGGTCTCAGAGGGACTTAGGGAAGTCCTGAAACCTGGAACTCGGGGGAGGGGGCTCAGGGCTACTGGGGTTTTTCTAATGGCTCATTGTGGTAAATCCTTATCTCTAAGGGCCAGAAGCAGGGCCCCATGGAATTCTGAGACTCTGATCCTAAGCCTGTCGATGAGGGAAGGGCTGGTATACTTGGCACTTAGAGGGGCCGGGATATGATACACATTGCATTGCCTGCACACTGAAGAGTGCGTCTATGCAGCGGCTCAATAATCACTGTGTGTCTCTTTATCAGAGACAATATGGTACTTTAATGTGCTTTTCTGCCTGGTAATCAGATTTTTTAGTATTTTTATTAGATATTTAATAAAAATACAAATTTATGGAGACTGGAGATAAAACTCAGAGACCCTGGAGTTAGAACATGCTCTTTCTAGCTTCTTTTGGCCTCTGAGGGCCCATCCTTACATCCAACAACAAAGTCTCTCTGAAATTATGTCCTTTTAATAAATCTTTTAGATTAGCAGGACTAAGCTAATATACATAACAGTCTAAGAAATAACCATGACTTTTGCTTTTCCTGTTGAGTTTTGAAGTGGAGAGAAAGTTGCACACAAGCCACTCAACTTCTTTTTGAAACAGTGTCTCACTGTGCATCCCAGCCTGATCTTGAACTCTTAGTCATCCAGACTCACTTCCTGAGTGTGGGGATTACAGGGATGTGCCACCATGCCCAGCCACTGAGCCATTCTTAGTAAAGACTAGGCAGATCCATTATAATATTCAATAAAACCAATAAAAATATTTCCCACGTTCTATATAAGAGCAGAGAGAGGAAAGGAGAAGGCTACTAGGAGGGTCTAAGCGAAATCAGAATTGCCTATAGATGAGTATAGACTTTGTCACTTGCAGGGTCTGTGACCTTTTACAAATTAATAAACATCACTTTGTTTTAGTTCCCCACTCTATAAAATGGGAGAATAATAGTTTCTAGTCATAGAGTGGTTTTAAGAGCAAAGGAAGAAATCATTTCAAAGCACTTTGAATCATGTCCAGAACTCAAGTATGCACTTAATAAATGCTTAATAATTTAGTCATTGTTATGATAAAATTACTGAGCTACCTTGTCTTTTTTATAGTGCCTAAACTTTTTAATGTTAGAGTGAGCTATGATAATTGTATATTTCTTAATCCTTTTTCTTATATCTCAAGACGGGTGATAAATAGAAGGGCAGGGATTTTGCTTTTTGGGCTATGTATCTGATACTTGTTATATGACAGATTATGACTGATTTTAAAGAATATGTTGGGAAAAGATGTGAATGCCCTTAACATGCAAGATGGTATTTTATCTTACAAAAACCTGTTGTGTTATTCCTATTTTCCAGGGGAAGAAATTGAGTTTCAGAGAGGAAAGTAGCCTCCCATGGTGATACGGTTAGAGGAGGGTTAAAGCTGTGATTCAGACCCAGGGTGGTAACATTCCCAAATCAATGTTTTGTCCTGTTGTACAAGGTATATTAATTTGGTAATATAGCAGTGGAAGTAGAGATTATAATAAAGTAATTTATATTAGGGACAGATAATCACAGCTCCATTTTTGTTATTTTTATTGAATTTTTGTGTATTTCATATAAAACATCTTAATAATCTTTATACTCTCTCCCCCCATCTGCACCCTCCCATGCCCTCTCCCACTGGATTTCATGCAATCTGTCATTTATGTTAAGGCCTATTGAGTCAAATTAGTGTAACCAGATGTCCCTCAATGCAAATTCATCCACTGGGGTCTAGTCAGCCTCTCTACAATCACTCCCTTAAAGAAGATCAATTCTCCCTCACCCAGGCGTAATCAGCTGCCAGTAGTTCTCCATGCTTTGGCCATTTGTGGCTTTTTGTGCCCATTGCCCTCTGTTACATGAGGGAGCTTCACTGATGAGAGTTGAGAGATGCATTAGTATTCTCTCTACCCCTTGTTCCACTGTGTTCTGTGAGTCTTTGGTGTAGAGGTTCCATTATAGATTTGTCACTTAGAGTTGGGCATTTCACAGACACTTATTCTCTGTGTGTGATCAATTGTAGAACTCTGTAATGGTCTCTGGTTTTTGCAAAAAAAAGCTCTTTGATGAGTGGTGACTGCAATACTTGTATATAAGGATTTAGTACTAAGATTCACAAATGAGAGAGAACATACATCTTTTGTTTTTCTATGTCTGTGTTACTTCACTTAGTATAACAGTTTCTAGTCCCATCCAATTACCTGCAAGTTTCATGACTTCATCTTTCTTTACTGCTGAGCAGAACTCCATTGCGTAAATGTACCACATTTTCATTATCCGTTTGACAGTTGAGGGGCACTTAGGTTGCTTCCATCTCTTAGCTGTTGTGCAAAGAGCAGCAGAAAGTGTGAATGTACAACAGCTCCATTTTTAATCCAGTAATAATTCAATATATGTTATCTTTCTCTGAAGGTGGTGGGTATGAGGTGTGATGATGTTGCTTCATTTCTTCAGGAGTCTTGTATTAACAACACATGAATTACACTTCTGAACTCAGTGCTGAGATCCTGGCACTGCTCTCTCTGTGTGCTGGGTGAAGCATGAAGCCGTGTCTGGAGTTGCTGCATCTCCCCTATCCCTAGTTTTGTTCCTGAACCCTGAGAATGCTGGGATCTGTAAGGTGGTGAGCACACCTGTGGACTTCGTGTGAGCAGTGAGGTCCAAACTGATTCTGCTTTCTTCAACTGTAAATTATGTCTTCTTAATTTTATTTATTGTCTCTACTTTATGTGTGTGAGTGTATTGCCTGTATGTATTGTAAGTGTACCTGTGTCATGCAGTGTTCATGGAGGTCAGAAGAGGGCGTTGGATCCCCTGGAACTTGAGTTACAGATGGTTGTTAGCCATGTGAGTGCTGGGAACCAAACCCAGGTGCTCTGCAAGAGCAGCCAGTGCTCTTAACCACTGAGACATCTCTTCAGCCCCAGAAATCATGTTTTGATGAAAGAAGTGCTTTCAGAAGGAAAAGTATCCATAGGCTTCATTGTGATTTATTATTGGGTCCATGACAGTGTTCCAGCAGCAGGTATTTCCCTCAAGTACCATTTTATGAGGTACCTAATTACTGTTTTTTTCTCTACTGTGATAAGCAAACCATCAATATGATGTTTATCATGAGCCATATAATGTTGATGGCTCCTCTGTGAAGTCTGTGGTCACCCCATTGGAACCATTCTCCTAGGCCTCGAGAGAGTGGCGTTTATAGCTGTCATGCAGCAGAGTTCTCCATGGCACTGTGGGACTTGTCACTGAGAAGTGGTCCATGTGCGCTCATGCTTTAGGGCTATAGGCCAATGAGTGTTGTCACTAATTCTGCCTGTCCCTTACTGCCCAGACCATCATTCCCTCCCCAACACTAGTAAATGGCCCAGTACCCCAGTAATGTCATACTATGTAGGAAATAATGACTTGATCCAGCACTCTCTCAGGAAAGGCTGTTAAATGAATATGGATTTCATTGATGCTTCTTTTGAAAAGTTCCTCAGGACTGTGGCGTTTGTTCTTTCTAAGACAAAGGATTGCAGAGGCCCATTTTTCACAGCTAAAATGGGAGTTCTCAAATATTTCAGGGTTTGAAATTCCCTGTGCACAGTGAGGCACTAGGAAATGCAGAAGTGCTCTAGTGCTTGAATGCGAGGTGGGGAGACCTGAGCTTCTCCTGGGGGCACTTGGGTCAAGCCCCATGAGAGTCACTATTGCAAGCTTCTGCCGTAAGGGAACCATTATTTTAAGCAGATCAAATTATTATAACTGTTACAGCCAACATTCTTAGAATCTTCCTTTTGTGGTTAGTACTTTATATTCTGGGTTAGCTCAGATCCTCTGGGAAAGACAGAATGAGAAATGGAAGGGAAATGCCTGTGAAATAGGTGGAAAGGATAAGACAGGAAGGTAGAGGAGGGAGGAGGAGGAAGGGAACAGGAAGGAAGGAAAGGAAGAAGAAAGGGAAACAGGGAGAGAGGAGGAAGGATTGTATAATTCTGGACTAGACTTGCTCAGAATGGTAGGCTGCTGTTTGCATGGTTGCAGGAATCCTATATTGGGCAAGAATGGCCTGCCTCTAGCATCCCTCCTCAAAAGCTCTCATCAACTAGGAGCCTCCTGGGAAGAATTCCATCTCTTGTGAGCCCTGTAGTGAATCCTGACCACCTTGCGACTGGGGGAGCTGTAAGCTCACCATGTGCCTTGTTGAAGGCTCTTTCTAGAAGTGATATTATATGCCTCATGGCTGCCACAAGTGAATTATTTTACTTAATTTTTGTATTAGATATGTGTATTCTAAGTGAACTTCATAAAATTTAGATTTAACTGGCTGGATTCTAGCAAGGGAGAGGACAAAGGTGAGGGGAAAAGTAAGGGTTAGAGAGAAGAAGGGGCCTGAGTTAGGGATTTTAGGCAATTCTGACAAGTCAATAAAAGGGTTAGTGCCCCAGAGTGAGAATGGGCTGTGAGCTGTAACCCCAGGGTCCTCTGCTCCATTTCATTTCCTGTGACTCTCAGGCTGAGACTCTTTTGCTGTTTGAATTATTGCTCTAGGCCAGAGTGCACAGGTGCGCATGATTCTCCCATAGGCTCTGTCCCCAGTACAAGTCAGTTCTCATATTTGATGCTCAAAAAGAAAGCACTGGAGGATATTCTTGGTACAGTTAATTTTTTCAGTAAGTGCTGTCCTTAAAGCTCAGGTCCCTTGAAAGATGAAACTGCTGTGATATTCCAACTTCCCATAAGAAGAAACCGACTTAGGGAGGTGTCTTCTCCAAGACCAAATCACTGGTAAGTAGCAGAGCTGGATTCTGTGAACACCTAAGTTAGTCATGGGCATAGACAAAAGACAGCACTTTTTGTCCTGAACTGACCATAGAGGTCATCATTTCTACAGAGCAGCCTGCCCTGCTATTGCAGAACTTTCTCATCAGTGACCCCACAGGATATGCCACAGGCTATTAAGCCACCAGCCTTGCTGAAGTGTAATGTATACTTCCAGCTTGATGGGCCATTCCTCCCAGGTGACTGGCCTTCTCTAGTCCATGTGTGCTGCTGAAAAGAGTGACTTTGTGCCCCAGTTTCCACCCTGCTCTAGCCCTCAAGCTTATGCTTCTTCTTTTCCCTTTCCTGCCCCTTGTTTAAGAAAAAGTGCAGCTTACTGCTGCTCCCTCTGGGTCAGCCAACTCTCACTTTGGGATGCTGTACTGCTCTAGAGCTGGAGAAGCTAGTAAATGAGAAGCAGAGATGCTTAGGACCTAACGACAGCTCCAAAATGTGCAAAACTGTGTTGCGATGTGGTGATTTGAAATCATGGTTAGAACACAGGGCCAAGCTGCTGCTTACTCTGTGGGATTTAAATGAGGATAAAGTTAGAACTGGATTTGAAAATACCTGTCTGTATCTGTCATAAATAACTGTGTATCACAAGAACTTCCTTTTGGAATTTGGAAAGTCTCTTATTGTCCCAATAGACCTCTCTTAAACTACTAGACTTTCTTCCCTTGACTGCTGGACATGTGTTTTGTAACCAGATGAAGCAGTTAATGAAGAGTGAAGAGGGAATGACTGGAGGTGCCTCCATGCACACTGCTGGACCTCAGGGAATGGGGTGCAGCAGGGCCAGTCTGGTCTTGGCAGCTCCTAGAAAATCTGTTACTCTGTGTCTTGGGTAGATGTCATGTCGCCAGTTCATCAGCCCTTCACTTTTTTTCCCCTTTTCACCCTTTCCATTTCCAAACTATAATTCAAAATGTCTCACAAACCAGCATGATGGCATATGCCTTTAGTTCCAGCATTTTGGAGGCAGAGGCTGGTGGAGCTCTGTGAGATAGAGACCAGCATGGTCTACACAGTAGTCAGTTCCAGTCCAGCTTGGGCTACAGGGAGACCCTATCTCAAAAAGACAAATCAAAGAAAAACTGCCTCACAAGTTCTCTGGTTAGATATTCATGAAGGTCTTTAAAACCTTAAAGCAACCACATAGGCCCCGACTTTCATGGAACCAGGGCATTTATAGGAGACAGCTGCAGTTAGAGGATTTTAATAATGCAGAGTAAATGAAACATTAGTAGTGAAAGCGGACACAGTGACAGTCACATGTCAATGGCTATGAATCCAGAAACAGGATGTTTAGTGCCATGGGAGCCAGGAGGGCTTGTTTGTAGTTTGGGTGTTGCAGATGTGGCTCTGTGTTCCTGTTACTACATACGTTTTAGTGCAGAAGATGGCCTAGCCAGGAGCTCAGAGTACTTATCTCAGCCTCCTGACCCTGGGCAGCCCTACGGAGGTGGCATCAGCTCTGTCCTCTGGCTCTGTAACACCATCTCTGCCTTTTCATGAATTATGACTGCACATGAGCAAAAGGTACATCCGAGATGCAAAAGGTACATCCGAGTGTGTGGAAATGGAGTTGGGCACCCTGGGGTAACTTGGGGCTGTTGTGGATACACTCTGAAGAAGAGTAGATAATTGCTTAGTAATACAACTTACAGAAAAGAAGAGAGGTGGGGTTGTCAATTGGGCCATTCATTTACATTTCACATATGTGAGTGTTGTAGGGATTGGGTTGGTCGTAGTGAACAGGCACAATCCTGTCTTCATGGGCATGTCAGTATCCTGTATTTGAATAGTATCTGTTGATATGCAATGCCTTAATATGTGTCTTCCATTCAGCACTGCTGTCTCACGAGAATTCTGATATGTCCAGTCATGTACGCATGAGTAGGAGTCAACATTGAGTGGGCCTCTCCCAGGCATCCTGAAGTCAGCATGTCCTGAAGGGAACTCCTTGTCCTGGTCCAAAGTTCCTCCTCAGTTCACTTACCGCCATTCATTCATATTCACATTACCAGTCCATAAGCGAAACTTAATGACTTTACCTTTGTTGTATATAATATGACCATAGTTCAGCATCTCTACCCTGATAACAAAGCTACCAACACCTCCCCTGGGAGGTTTCACAGTGGCTTCCAGCTGTTTTCCCAGTAAGATGGACAGATGCACATACGTGCACACACATGCATGTATGCACCCTGCCCTTGCATCTCACTCAAAGGCAAAGGTAAAGGCAAAATCTGTTCACTTTCTCTACCCCATCGCCAGTACCTCACTGCACTCCTCCCTTTCATCACCATGAGGAACCCTCACTTATGCCCGTCCTTCCTGTTTCTGGAAAACACCACACCTGTGTCCATATTCAGAAGTCTAGAATGCTCTTCCTACAAAATATGCAAGTAATGTTCTACCCCTCTGTCTTCAAGTCTTTGCTGCATGTCCTCTGACTAGAGAAGACTCTGCCTGCCTTTAATAAAATACTCCTCACTCCTGAGAATTCGCTCTGTGCTTTCTTGTTTCATTTTTCTCCGTATTGTTTTTGGTATCTGAGTTACTGCTATTTACTTGCTTCTTCACTTATGATCTGTCTCTTCATATCAGAGGGAAATGGAGGGAAGAATCTATGTTTTTCTCCCACTGTTGTATTCCTAGCACCTTGAGTAATAATTGGCACAGAGTAAATGCTTAGTAGATAATGTGGAACGCATACCCTGGAGTAGATTCTGGTGGTGTAGACAGCCAAGAAGTCAGTACACAAACACACAAATATAATCAGTGAAGAAGCAGAACTTGTAGAAGAAAGGGCTGTTGGCTGTGCAGACAACTGCTAAGGAGAGTCAAGGAGAACTTTCAGGAGGTGGATAGCTCCAGCCCCTTGAGGAAAGTGAGTGGGAAAGAAGTGCTTCAGAGAGAGGGAACCATATGTGAGAAGCCCCCCGGTTATGAGGAGCTGGGAAATCTCAAGTAACCATAGAATGAGCAGGTAGGCCTCATGCTGCTGGAGGTGCCAGACCAGCTCCAGTTGTAGCATGAAGAGCTCATGGAAGTTTGGAAGGGGAGTGGATTCTAAATGAAAGGCTGATGCAGTGAAGAGTAACTGAACACTTTAAGATGAGTGTGCTGAGCTGGAGATGTGGCTCGGTGGTAGAGCCATTGCCTAGCTTGTGCAAGACCCTGGGCTTGAGTCCCAGCACCACAAGAAAGGAA